CTGGCAGGAGGCGGGCTCTAGGCCACCCGAGGGTGCGGTGCAGATGCCCCCTGTGTCCTGGTCCGGTGTTTGTCGCCCAGGTGTATGTGCACACGATCGGTGCATTGCCTCCCATCTCCGGATTCTCCGTCCTCTGCTCTGTTCGTGGTAGCACTCGGGTTGGACCCTGTGAGCACCCTCTCCTTTTTAGCACAGCCTTAGGTTTTGTCACTGGTGGGTGAGGGAGGGGGCGTGGCAAGGCGGAAGGGGCTTCTCTCGTGTTGCTGTGTGCTTGGTTTTTTCCTTCTCCGTCTTAGGTGGGCTACCAACTAGGCTTCCTCTTCGTGACGTTCTTAGCAGCCCAGCAGGCAGCTTCTTGCTCCCAGAGCACCCCAGCAGGCAGAGTCCTGTGGGCCAGCTGCAGCCCACTGGCACCCTGGAGAACTCGGCCACCCAGCGGGCTGGAGCACGGCTTGTCCACGAAGGGTTCCCTTTTCTGTTACCCCGTGGCCCTGCAGGGAGTGACTGCCTCGGGCATTGGCTGTGCCTGCATTGCCTCGCGCTCCCCGCCTCCCCTTCAGTGGTGCACCGCCTGTACAGGTAGTGTTTTTACACTCACTTTTCCTGTTTACCTTACTTGTGTATTTTTTATCTCCCGACTGTACCCTGACTGTCATAACAGTAATGATTTATGTAAATTACTATTAATTTTACATAATAAAAAACAATGGAAAACATAAACATACAGCTTGACTGGTTTTTATGAAGGGAACACACTGTTTAAGGGTACCAGGGTGGGATGTAGAGCGACACTCTGTCCCCAGAAACCTTCCTCTGGACGCCAGCTCTGAGTCCTCTCCTCCCCCAGCTGGTGTCCCTGTTTGACTTCCGTCGTCACGGCCGAGTTCCGTCTGTCGTCACACCTCACGGGAGTGGAGTCTCGCAGCCTCTGGTGTGGTGTGTGACTTCTCTTTCTGCACCCTGCCGGGGAGGCGCACCCGTTTCATCTTGTGTCTCTTCCTGTCGTCCGACGTGTGAGCGTCCAGTGTTTCGAATAAAGCTGCTGTCACCATTGCTGTCCATGTCGTGGTGGGCCTGTTTTCATGTCTCCGAGGTCGGCGCGCAGGAGAGCAGTTGGCGGCATCTGCCGCGAGTCAGATTTCACGCGGCTGCACTGGTCAGTGCACGGGGTGTGAGGCGCCGCGCGCCCCCTTCCTTTCCTGCACTTACGTCGTCCGGTGGTTCCAGGCCCTGATCATGTAAATGCTGTTTAAATTCTCTGTGTTGTGGTAGAAGAGGAAGAGCTTCTAAAGTCTTTATGAAGTGAGCATAATATTGAGGTCAAAATAGATGAATATAGTAGGAAAAACTGCAGAAAAATTTTACTTATGAATATCCATTTTATTCCTAAATAAAGTGATAGCAAGTGGACTCCAGCAGCATGCTCCAGCAGTTACAACAATTCTCATGTATGGCTTTTTCTTTGTAGGAATGGTTATTCTTTGAATTGCCCTGTACCAGGCAGTGGCAGACTGGCTGTACGTGCTTCCGTGTTTCACGTTTCTCAGCATTTTGAAAGGTGTGTTATTTGAGGAAGGTGTGCACATTCACTGTTACTCCCTGCCCACCCCCAGCGGAAGCCAGCCCTGGAGCACTGGCACCGCCACCGCTGCCTGAGCCCCGCCTCGGACCGTGGGGGCTGGGAGGCCTCCACATCTTTTTCCATGAAGGGCTCCAGGATGAAGGGAGTTTCATTTAGGGCCTATCTATCTATCTAGATATCTATCATCTAGATATATCCTCACCAGAGGACATGCTTGTTGATTTTTTTGGAGATGGGAAGGGAGGCAAAGAGGGACAGAGACATTGATGAGAGACGCACATTGATTGGTTGGGGACCCGCAACCCAGGCATGTGGGGATTGAACCCTCAGCTTTTCACTTTGTGGGACGATGCCCCAACCAAGTGAGCCACACCATCCAGGGCCATTTAGGGACATTTAAAAGAAGCAGTTTGTGTTACGGTGGCCTTTCTGTAGAGCAGTGGCGTGTATTTCAACAACTTCCTGACATTCATGTGGAACGGACCAAAGTGTGAGAGAGGTCTTCGCCCAAGCAGAAACTTAGTGTCATGTACTAATTAAATGCATCTGTCTTTCTTCCTCTTTTTTCTTCTTTTTGTAAAGAAGCTGGTAATCTAGGACCTACATTGAACAACTTTATATGAACTTTGTGCTTAGTTAAGGTGGTATGATAGAAGTTCCTTGAACACTAGATCTCTCGAGGTAAAGAAAAAACTGGATAAACATTTGGAAAAAGCTGGATTCCCACTTTGGATTTTATTCCATGATAAATGTAGACAGATCAAAATTTTACCAGCAAAATATGAAACCGTAAGAGAAAACATGGGAGGTGATTGAAAAAAGTAATCTGACTGGATGAGGATGTCTAAGGGTGATGTAAAATCCAGAAGCTCAAGTAAACGGTATGAAAAGGCAGATTAATTGGGGAGACTATTTGCAATACAGAGAGCTAAATTCTTTAATACAGTGTATAGTGAGTGCCTCTGAAAAGCAAAAGGGTACCAGTAGTTCAGAGGAAATGAAGTACAGATTTTGCTACAAGAGTCTTCTCCTTTCCCGTGTGTGTGTGTGTGTGTGTGTGTGTGTGCGCGCGCGCGCGTGTGTGTGGTTGGACAAGCTCGTGGAATATGAAGAGATTTCTGGTCTTGATTCTTTTGTGATTGTTTATTAGAGGAACAGTAATTTGTTAATGTTTAAAACCATAAACTAACAATACAGAAAACCTTATCAAACAAATGTAGACAACAGATTACAAGGTGCTTTCATAAGCAGAACCTCGCCAGCCCTGTGCCCATCCCAGTCACAGCTTTGCTCCGCGTTTCCAGTGTAACTTCGGTTTCTATGGTCATCAGTACCCTGTCGTTACCGTTTCATACTCGGATGTGCATCCCTAAACACTGGCTTAGATGGGCATGATTTAGTTTTGGTTTACATGTGCCGTCTCCAAGTCTTTTTTAGGTCTAGCTTTCTTCTCCCCATAGCTTCTCTCTTTCTTCTGTTGAGGAAGTGGGTTCCACGTGCCGTGGGGTCTCCCACATTTGGGGTTGTGCTGACCACTTTCCGGCCTTCTGTTTTACTCTGTTCTCCGTTCCCTTCAGCCTGTGAACTGCTAGGCTTGGTCAGATTCAGGGTCTAAGTATTTTTTCTTCCTTTTTGGCAAGACTGCTTCATGTCATGTATTCTCTTATCAGGAGGCATAGAATGCCTGGATATCTCTTGTATTTTGATGTTAGTAGCTGTTAAGCCTCAATGTCTGGATTTATTAGTTCATTAGGAGGGAGAAATGGTATTAACCCAGCCGTTCTTAGTCATTTATTAGCTGACATTTTTCTAAAAGGAGAAATTTTTCTTCATCTTCTGTTGGTTACCCAGTGGTATACTTTGTATTAGCAAGAAAGGGTAAATGCTTCTGTTGCCCTCTAGAGGTGACCATTTCGGGTTTCTTACTGTTACAGACTCTTGGGAGTTACCCATTTTACACCTTAATCCATTGTGGTTGTTGTCATCCTTATTGGCACAAACTGGCCCATCCTTGGTCAGTGGGGACATCTGTCAGGCTGGCCTCTTACACACAGTTGACATAACTGGGGTGGTTTTGGGTAGCTTCCTTTATATCCACGAACGACAGGTGTTCCAAGTCTGTGTTGTGCACTTGCAGCCCCGGGCCCGGGATCAGCCATTTCTTCACCTCGTTTCTTTGTACAAGTAATGGTATTTCAGGAATACAGTTGGTGTACTAGGGATGCTCATTGCTGCTGGGGTGGTTATTGTTGTTGAGCTTTTTTGGGAGTGGGGTTAGGAAATAAAAAAGTGTGCGTGTGTATGGTTTTCATAAAAGATAAGATGCCATCTGAGTTAAAAATATTTCCCAATATATAGCATTTTTGACCTTCTGTCTTTCATCTGAATTCTCTTCCATATTTGAATCCTGATTTTTAAGGATGCAGGGGTATGATAGAATTGAAACATCACAAAATTACTCATTTGCATTATTCCACATTTGTGTATACAGTAGTCTTAGTTAAAAAAACCAAGTACACTACAATATAATTATGGGATAAAGACTTTTTTGCGTATGTTCTCTGATTTCCACAGTTGTCCATTCTTTCCTTTACTGCCTTTTGAGTCTCAGGTTCTACAAGTGAGTGTCTGCTGCTCACTGTCAGTTCTTAGGTAAGTCATTCTGGGTATCTGAGGCTTGTTCTCGGGTAGATTCTCCCTTTTTCATGTTGATAACACTTTGAAGTCTTTATACTTGAGATTTAACTGAGTATAAAATCTTCAGCTTATGTTTCTTATCCTCAAGTCTTAAATAACATTACATTTTTTTCTGGCATAAAGCATTGCTGTCAGTGATGACAATCTGATTTTATTTTCCATATAAAATATATATTTTTCTTGGCTTGGGTGCTCAACGAATATTTTCTTTTACTATTAAGTTTAGTAATTTTATTAAGCTGTATCTTAGTGTTGGTTATCCTGGGTTGATTTTTCTTATATATGTGATTGGCCTTTCATTTTGATCTTCACATTATTTTTAAGTTCAGAAAATTGTTCCTTTTCCCTTTGTGTTGTCTTGTGTTTTCAGTCTGTATACTGTGCTCTTATCACATTGGTGTTGACCTTCATAAACTCACTGCTTTACAATGAAGTGTACATTCTATCTGGATGCACCCTTCCCCCCTCAACTTCATTGAGCAACATTTTTCTTGTTAAGTAGCACTTGAAAGTAATTGTATAGATTATTTTATTTATTGTTTTCTCTCCAAAGTTAAGAGATAATTAAAAAGGATAATAAATTAGAACAGATGTCCTTTGAGTTTTAGCATTAGTAGGGATTTAAAAAGCATCGGTATTGCATGGAAGCTTTCCTTAGTGAAAAACGTTTTTGAACACTTCTGGGATTATAATCCTGAGTGTTGCGTGCTTTATGTTACAGTGAAAATGCCTCGCGCTAAAGCAGCACAAGCTGGAAGACAGGGCCCTGCAAAGAGACGTCTTGCAGAAGACTTTGCAGCTGGGGAGGTAATCACCGACATGTCCAAAAAGGAGTGGAAGCTGGGACTACCCATCGGCCAAGGCGGCTTTGGTTGTATATATCTCGGTAAGAGAGTGCCTACTTCTAATGATTTTAGCAGTGTTGGGCCAAAGTTTATATACTTTCTTACCAAAGTAGTTTCTCAGTTGTGAGCTTTTAGACGATGTTCCTAATCTACAGTCACTTCAATGTTATGTGATTAGGCAGAAATGCATCTCTGACGCGGGATGGAAAAGAAGACGGTTGCTTTAGTCAGGCTAGAGAAGAGGGCAAACATCTGTACCAGTGCCATCAGTGAGCACCGTGGCTTTAGGTTTTTAAGGCATTACGTATGATCTTGCATTTTTCTGTGACCCACAGAAATTGATGTAGATTTTCTCCTACCTCCTTCCAATTAGGATTTACTTCTCTGTTTTGGTTTAATTTGACAATTTTCAGATCTTTAACAGATGTAGATTATTTTTCTTTCTATACAACCCTATTAGTCATTATTGTGGAATTAGGAGAATGATCTAGAGACTGCATTAGGCCTGATTTAATATACTGTTAGCATATTTACCTGGAAGTTTTGAGGGACCTGTTGTGGAACCCTGAGATTCTATAGGTTAACTAAATTGTTGACGTAAAAAATATTTTACCTGCTTACTTCTAAAGCTGTCTGCTTCATCAAGAACATTATCATGATATAATGCATTTCATGTTTGCTTTTGATATTTCTCTCTAATTTTTCCATTTTCACCTTTAATCTTGATTTGGTTAGTCCATCGCTTAATTCATTATTTAATTTCTGCCTGGAGGTTTAGAAAATTTTATTTTTAGTAGCGGAACCCCTTTTCTCTTTGAAGCAGCATCTCTCTAAGAATGCCAGTGTTGTAGAGTAGGTTAGCATCAAGGGGAGACCTGGGGAGACCTGTCCTAACTGCCGGCTCTCAGGCCCCACCCCAGGCCTGCCAGTCAGAAACTGTGGGGCCCACACGCTGAAGCTTGAGCCCACTGCCAGAGCGGAAAGCACAGCTGTGCTCACCCCACCTCCTCCAGGTCGGATGGGCTCATGCAGTTGGTTAGCGGGTCTGTGGGGTGCATTCACAAAACAGCTAAAAAAACCGCTGCTTGACTACATTTTATAAGTGTGATTCCTCTAGGGCAGTAGGAAATAAGTGTTGATTCTTCAGTTTTGTTCAGAGCCAAACCCATTCTGGTGAACTTGGCTGTGGTTGACTTAAGGTGAAGTCCTCATAAACCATGAAAGGTCAGTAGCTTTATTAGCCAGGTGTATGTTTTTGACCTTGTAATTTAGATATGGCAGATTCTGTAAGCTGTCTCTGCCAAATGTGTCGATCAGGACATCCCAAAGCGGGAATGGGAACTTGTCTTTAAACAAGCAGGTTCTTAATTCGGTAACTTTGCTCATGAACCCTTTGGCAAATTTGGGACTTGTTTTGCATGAGTGTTAGCAGTTTTATTTGTGCTGAAACTTTGCTTCTGTAGACCTGGGGTGATGAATCTGGGGAAGGGGCTGCTTCAGTGCTGCCTCCAGTTTCACCACAACTGCCGTAGTCAAGACTGTCAGCAGTTTTCGCTCATGAATTAAACAGATTGCTTTTGAGTTTCCTGTGGATATTTTTTGCAGCATTTGATATGGTTTCACTTTCACACTGATAAAAATCGCTTCCGTTGTCTTCCTGACCACACACCTTCATTTCGGGTTTCCCACCTACCTCTCTGGACGTGCCCAGTTGTCCTCCTAGGTGTTGCGTGTTTTCCAGCCTTCCCCCTGTGGCTCACTCTTTATTCTGTGTGTCCTCTCCGGGTGACCCCACCCCGTCTTATGGCTTCTCTGTATTGTAGATTTCCCAATCAGGGTCTGACCTTGCCGGTCCTCTCAAAGCCTTTTATCTGTAGCCCAGGACTGGGTCTCCTCAGTGCAGGCTCCTAGCCAGTGGCCTGCAAGCGACCTCTACACGACGTCCCACAGGCAGGCTTGAAACTCGTATCATCCTCTTCTCTCTCCTGAGACGCCTGTGGCTGGGAGAGGGTTACCTGAACGAGTGACTCCCACAAACGCGGACCCCGGGAGGGCACTCTCCAGTGTTCCTTCCCCACCGCGCCCGGCATCTCCTCTGGTTATGTCGCTTTAACTGAGGGGCTCCTCGGACCATTCATTTCTCTCCTTTGCTGCCACTACCTTCTCAGTGCAGGTCGTTTTCATGTCCCGTCTGGATTCCATTGTAGCAGTGACTCTCCTCTGCTCAGCCTTGTCCCCTGGCAGCCCATTGTGTGTGTCGTGGCTTGAGTGGCCTCGCCTGCTAATCAGATCCTGTGACCTTCTGCTTGAATGTCTTTAACGTCTCCCTGGTTCCATTAGGATTAAGTGCCAAAGTTTTGAGAACAGCATATAAGACACTTCATACAGTCTGGTTTCTCTGTAACTTTAGCTTCACCCCTCTTATCGCCTCAAAATCTATGCTTTGATTAGAATGCTCCCTTTTGCCTCTTGATCTTTGGATGTGTTGCTTCTTTTACTTCGATTTTCCAAAGCTGAGTTTAGGGTAGGCGCAATCTATTTATGGTCCCTCTGTGTTAATCCTTTTATAGTTCTTTCCACGCTGTATTGAAATTACTGTTCTTCTTTCCAGAATAAACATGTGCTTCTTGATGATGGGACAGCTCTTCTTATGGTGTTCCTAGTGCCTGGCATATTTTGCAGTACATATTGTTTGAATGAATTATTGAATTTCTTCCCCCTTCTTTCCTCATTTGAATTGTACAGTATTATTAGTACACTATCCTCAATTTAATATTTCGTACACTAAATGCTTATTTTAAAATCTGCTTTGTTACTAATTCAGTATCTAATTGGTGTTCCTTGGCTCTTCCTTCTGCCCATAAGCCAACTTATGACCTGGTGTGTCTTCTTTACACCGAAGTGTTCTCGTTGCTTCCCAGTTGGCTGGTGGTTTCCTGGTTTCCTTGGTCTGTCCCTCCTTATCTCTTGAGCTTCCCGTGTGAGACTGTTGGTGTGAGACCTCAGGTGTGAGACCTCCGGTGTGAGACCGCCGGTGTGAGACTGCCTTAGGACTCAGTCCTGGGGTGTCTTCTTTTCTGTCTACACGCATCTCCTAGGGTGTCTCCTCTTGTGTCAGAGGTTAGTGACTCTCATTTATTTTCTAACTTGCCATCACTCTTCTGAACTGAAGACTTATAAAGGGTGGAGAAAAGTAGGTGTACAGTTGTGAGTATGTGAAAGAGTTTATTCTTGTATTACTGTTGACTAGTTATTGTATTTCTGTACGAACAACTGTAAATCCACCTTTGCCCCACCCTGTATATCTGCTGCATATTTAATATCTGAACTTGGATATTTGATACAGGTGTCAAATTTTAGACACCCCCAAAGTACCAGCAACTCCTGCGGTTTTCTCCGGCTTTGGAAGTAGCAGCTTCCTCTTTCCAGTTGGTGAGACCAGAGACCTGGAGTCATCCTCACCTCCTTTCCCTCACTTAACCTCTCCATCCAGTTCATCAACCCATCCCATTGGCTCTTTTTTGGAAGTATGTCCACAGTCTGACAGTTCTGCTGCCCCTGTGGTTTAGGCCTCCCTCGAGTGTCACCAGAGTGCGGTTTCCTGTCTGCACACTCCATTCTCCCCAATGCAGCCGAACAGTTCGGTAAAAGCAGAGTCTGGTCAGACTTCTCTTCAAAGCCTTCTGGTGCCTCTGCATCTCATTCCGTGAGACCTTTGCGTCACCGGCGGAGCTCATGGTGCTTGTTCCTGCTGCTTCTCACTCACGCCTTTTCTCCAGCTGCTTTGGCTTTTTGCCTTCCTCAGACATGTCAGAGGCTCCCACGTCAGGGCCCAGGGCCGGTCGGCCCCGAGTGACCTTTGCCTAGACATCGAACGGCTCATTCCCACCCTGCGTGTGGCCCGCAGCTCCAGTAACGCCCTGGTGGTGAGGCTCCTCTTACACGCTCGCACCACTGCCTGCCCGCCCTTCCCCTTGGTTTTCCCTGCAGCGCTTGTCACCGGCACGCAGAGTCGATGCTTTCGTTGTTGTCTGTATCCTGCCACGGAAATGTTAGCTTCATAAGGGCAGGGATTACTTTTTCTTGTTCACTGCTAAATCAGTTTCTTAGAAATCTGCATATAGCAAGTACTTGGCAAACATTTGTTTAATGAATACTGGCAACCTTGTGTTCCCGACTCAGTGTTCTAGGGCAGCTGTGCTCCTTCATTTCTGTGAAATAAAATGACAGCCACAGTAGTACTATTAGTGTTCTGGCTGGCATTTCGGAGTGTCGGTGCCAGCGTCCTGGGTCTCGGTGTGCTTCCCCCCAAACTCATGATTTTGGACCTTCCGCTCCCTCTTTTCTTACTCCTACTTCAAATGATTCCCTAGTTCATTAGGTGTAGGCCATTGCATCAGGTCCTCTCTTGGTGATTCTCAATATGCGTTAGTGTATCAGAGGCCATGTATTCTTTTGAATTAAAGGTTTAGCTTAGAGTTTTTCATACTTAATTGATGCATTCCATTATAAGATGCATTCCAGTAATAGACATGTTAAAACACAAAAAGAAAGCCTTAGAATTGATAACGTATATTGTAATGGTATCCTGAAATACATATTTGGGGACTGAAATTTATTCTGTCACGGGGTTATAAATATATGTACCTAAATATTAATAAAGTGTTAGTGACAGTCTATAGTAATGCTACTTCTTGTCCTGATATTGTGTGTCATTTTTCCCAAACAGCTGATAAGAATTCTTCAAAGTCAGTGGGCAGCGATGCACCCTACGTTGTAAAAGTGGTAAGAACATTTTTGTTGTGTTGTTGTTGATTTAGTGTAGGGCCCCCCCAAGTTTTTTAAGAATTTATTTATTTATCTTTAGAGGGGAAGGGAAGGAGAGAGGGAGAGAAACATCAATGTGTGGTTGCCTCTCATGCGTCCCCTGCTGGGAACTGGCCTGCAAACCAGGCATGTGCCCTAACTGGGAATTGAACCGTGATCCTTTGGTTCGTAGGCCCACACTCAATCCACTGAGCTACACCAGCCAGGGCCAACTTTTTAAATCCTTACCAGAGGATATGTTTATCGATTTTAGAGAGAGGAAGGGTTGGGGGAAGGAAGGAGGGGGAGACAGAGAGACATCAGTTAGTTGCCTCCTGTGTGTGCCCTGACCGGATTGGTCCCATGGCTTACGGTGCACAGGACGATGCTCCCATCAGCGGAGCCGCCTGGCCAGGCCCTCCAGCCCACTTTTTTTTTTAATAACCAGGTTTTCTTGCTTTTCATAATTGAGTAGTAAAAGAGGTATTCTGGATATAAGTCCTTTTTCAGATATGTGTCGTAAATATTTTCTCCCAGTCTATAGTTTTGTCGTTTGGTTTTTTAAAGCTTTTTCAGCATCCATTGAGATGGATCATAGGATTTTTCATCTTTTTCTGTTAATGTGGCAATTATATTGATTGATATTTGAGTGCTGAACTAACTTTGTATTCTTAATATATACTCCACTTAGTTATGGTGTATTGTGCTTTCTACATAATGCTGGAATTGACTTGCCAGTAGTTTGTTAAGGATGTTTATGTCTTTGTTCATGAGGGAGACTGGCTTTTAATTTTTCTGGCATTCTTTTTTAACAGTTTAAGTTTTCATTTTTTAAGAAAATATGTTTTATTGATTGTGCTATTCCAGCTGTCCCAATTTTTCCCCCTTTTCCCTGCCTCGCCCAGTACCCCTAGTCCCTCCAGCAAGCTCCCCACCCGCTTAGTTCATATCCATGGGTCGTGCATAAAAGTTCTTTGGCTTCTCCATTTTCTATACTGTTCTCAACATCCCCCTGTCTCTTTTGTACCTTTCAATTATGCTTCTTAACCCCTGCGTCTTTTCCCCTGTCTCTCCCTCTCTCTCCCAGCCGATAATGCTCCAAATGACCTCTGTACCTCTGATTGTGTTCCTGTTGTGGCGGTTTGCTTAGTTTGGTTGTTTTTTAGGTTCAGTTGTTGGTAATTGTGCATTTGTTGCCATTTTAATGTTCATAGTTTGGATCTTTTTTAAAAAATAAGTCCCTTTAACATTTCATGTAATAATGGCTTGATGATGATGAATTCCGTTAGCTTTACCTTGTCTGGGAAGCTCTTTATTTGCCCTTCCATTCTAAATGATAGCTTTACTGGATAGAGCAATGTTGGATGTAGGTCCTTGCCTTTCATCACTTTGAATACTTCTTGCCAGTCCCTTCTTGCCTGCAAAGTTTCTTTTGAGAAATCAGCTGATAGTCTTATTGGGTACTCCTTTGTAGGTAACTCTCTGCTTTTCTCTTGCTGCTTTTAAAATTCTCTCTTGATCTTTAACCTTTGACATTTTAATTATGATGCCTCTCGGTATGGTCCTGTTTGGGTTCAAATTGTTTGGGACTCTCTGTGCTTCCTGGACTTATATGTCTATTTCCTTTGCCAAATCAGGGACATTTTCTCTCATTTTTTTCAAGTAAGTTTTCAATTTTTTGTTCTTCCTCATCTGCTGCCATCCTATGATTTGGATGTTGGTATGTTTGGAGATGTCCCAGAGGCACTTTATACTGGCTTCATTTTTTGAATTCTTTTTTTCTTCTTGCTGTTCTGGTTGGATGCTTATTTCTCCCTTGTGTTACAAATCATTGATTTGAATCCCAACTTCATCCCCTCCACTCTGGGTTCCCTATAGATTTTTATTTATTTCACTTAGTGTAACTTTCATTTCTCCCTGGATGTTTTTATTTTGTTGCCGCACTCAAGGAGTTCTTTGAGCATCCTGATCACCAGTGTTTTGCACTTTGCATCTGATAGGTTGGTCCTGTCCGTTTTGTTTTGTTCTTTTCCTGGGGTTTTGTTCTGTTCTTTCATTTAGGCCATGTTTCTTTGTCTCCTCATTTTGGCAGCCTCCCTGTGTTTGTTTCTGTGTATTGGGTGGAGCCGCTTTGAGTCCCTGTGTTAGTAGCATGGCCTGTTGTGGAAAAGGCCGCTGTAAACTGTGTGGGGTGGAGTCTTAGGTAAGTGCCAGGGCAGGGCCACCTGCTTCACTGCTTTGTGGCTCTGTGTGTGTGTGTAGGGGGGTCTTAGAGAAGTGCGTTGTGTGTGTGTGTGTAGGGGGGTCTTAGAGAAGTGACAGTGCCACTGTGTGCTGCCAACTGGCTTTGGGAGGGTTGCTGAGCATTTGCCCTGTGTGACTGATGCCCTTCCAGCGATTGCCCTGGTGCTGAATCCCAGACAGGAGGTGTCTGGGTATGTTTTAAATCTGTGTGGAACCTTTTAGCAGAGTCTCCTGAAAGTCCAGCAGTTTCTTCTGCCTCCCCAACCCTCCCTGGTTTGTACAGCCGGAAGCTGTGGGGGTTTATCCTCCTGGCGCTGGAACCCTGAGCTGCGTGGTCCAGCCTGGGGCTGGGACCACTCACTCCCGAGGTAGCCCTCCTGATTTTTATCCACCGCGTGTGAGTGTGGGATGGCTTCTTTCACCACCGTAGCATCTCTCAGCGCCACACTGTGTCTCCTTGACTCTGCCCCTCCTACCCATCTGGATGACTGTTGCTTCTTTAAATCCTTGGTTGTCAGATGTCCATGCCGCTTAATTTTCTGACAGTTGTGGGTGTTTATTTGTTTTGAGATCTATTTGTAATTCTTTCTATGGTTGCATGAGGAGGTAAAGCGTGTTTACCTATACCTCCATCTTGATGGGAAGTCCCTGATGTTCCTAAATTAAGAAATTTCTCATCTCTTGTGTTTTTTCCTGCTGTGACTTCGTTCTCTTGCTTTTTACCCCTGGTGCCTCTAGCACACAGTGGGGGCCATCATGGGCTCGCTTGTTTTCTAGTGTTGCAGGTCCCTGTTCTGCACTGCCTCTTTTGTCTGGTGGCAGAAAATAGTAGCGTTCTATATTGCCTCATTTTTGTATTTGTTTACAGTGGGGGCGGGGTGGTAATTGGGTCCCAGTTACTTCCTCGAGTTTGTAGGTGGAAGGGAAGCTGATAACTTTGAAGCGTTGTTGGCGTGTTTCCCCACCATTTCACTTTTCTTCATGCCTTTTCACTCGGGGTCTTCTTCTGTCTCATTTGTAGAATGGTATCCAGCTGTTAAATTGGGTCCCTTGCATGGAATTGAAGAATACTATTTGCATTTGATTAATTAAAATGTTAAAAATCCACAAGTAAGATTAGTGTCTTCTTAGGACCTTTAAAAAGTCTCCGTTGTAAGAAGAGGGAAGGTCCTCATGGGACTTCTCATAACCTGGAGGTTCAGCAAGCGCTGCCCCTTCGGACGCTCTGCAGCTGGGCAGCCTGCATGGCCGTCTGTGGGTCTCGGGAGGGGGCGGGGCTGGCGTGGGACCCAGTCTGTCTCCTCTATAACCTGGGCTTCTTTAAACTGTGTTTTATTTTGAATTATGGGCTTCTTCTTTGTTATGGGGAGTTCTAAGAATTTCTGTTGTATTTCACAGAAATTAGTTGAAGTGTAACTTCACTTTTACAACCTTTTTTACTTAGAGTTAAGAAATATGTGTTGTAACAAGTATTTCCTAACTGCTTAAGGTAGTGAATTGCCTTACATTTCTTAGTTTAGAGCCGTTTGTTGTCAGACCTGGTTGTGAGCTCTGCCTCTCCTCTCTCCTGAGTTTTGTGCCCTCTAGCCTGTGTCAGTCCTCTTTGTAATTGGGACAGTGTAAGTATTCAGTTGATTTCCCTTTTGCATTTTACATTTCAGTAATGTTTTCAGTGTCGCCATTTGTCTGTGATCCTGGAGGAATGCCACGCACAGACGTACTGTTGACTTTGACTTTGGTCTCCCGGAGACTGTAGTGGTGTGGTTTGCTCGTTTCTTCCCTGACACCTGCCTTTCCCGAGCTCCTCTGCACTCCGGGAGCGCTTGTGCTGTTCCCGTTTATTTCTCAGTTCCACCTGCTGGCATCCTTCTCAGGCCACTGACTGTTTTTAGTCTCTCTCTCTAACTGGGTTTTAAGTTATTTCATGGTTAAGGACCTTGTTTTGAGCTTTATTTTCTTTAAGCTGTCCTTAAATGCCTGTCTCACTCTTTGGAATAATTTATTCTGTAACCTCTTTATACTGCCCACTTCCATTTCTTGCCTGTGCCTTTGGAGGAGGCCCATTTTGAAATTGCTTTCACGTGTGACAGGCTGTGCCGGGACTCTGTCCATACTGTCATGTTCCTGTTCTCAGAGCTTTGTAATATTAAAAGTTGAAATGGTTCATCTATATAAGCATATAAAACGAGTATCAGATCTTTTCAGTACTCAAATCTGAACTGCTTATGAACATTTGCAACATAAAACATTAAGGGCTATTAAAAACCATGTTTTCAAAGAATAAATCCTGCTCTGGGGAAATGTCATAATTACTAAAAGAGAGGCAAGATAGAAAACTGTCGTATAGAGGAGGTTTTATAAATTAGCTATATATGTGAGGAAAATATATCAAAATATTTCCGATTTTGTAAAGTGAGCACCTGTTTTGTCTTCAGAGAAAAAAATCTCAGCAAATGCTGAAAATAGAGGCAAATTGCTTTTTAACGTGACGTGAGACTTGGTGATGTAACGGCGCATCGGACAGCGGCCCTGATCCCCGCCCGTGCAGTGTGACGGCTGAGTCTGTGTGCGCCTGGCCCGGTGAGCGCGGCTCCCCGAGGGTGCTCGGTGCAGCCAGGCTGAGGACCGCTGGCCGGGTCTGGCGCACAGAGCGCCTTAGTTACATCCGGTGAAACGTGTGTGCGCGCTCGTGTTTATCCTTGCTGGGGGGTGTTTGGGGGGGGGCATGCAGGTGCCCTGTGATTCTGGTCGGGCTTCCGCCTTCGTGCGGGACACAGGTCCAAAATCGTGGTTGCTGCTAACGTGCGTATTTGCTCTGCGAAAGAGCCCCAGATATTGTGGTTAACCCCCGATTTTTTGCCGTTGGCTTTGAAGTGAAGTGAAGACATACATGTTGAAGATAAATGTTTAGGGAAATGTCAAATATATGTTCTCTTCTGCCAAATGAGCGGGTCTGGTTATGTTGAGGGCGTTCGTCCTCACTGATTTATGGGGCAGCCTTGGAGTTCCGGTGCCAGGGTCCAGAGACGGCAGCCTTGTCTCTGACTCGAGAGCTGAGAGACGCTTTCTGTGTTTTATTTCAGGGAGTGAATGTGCCTGGAGAAGTGGTGAATTAATAATAGTAAGTTAGATACTGCAAGGAGAACTAGTTTTCTTTGGTGAGTTCTTGTTAACGGACTTCTCAGTAACTGGCACCTTCAGTCATACGTCCCCCCTGCGGTCGTGTCAGTGGGAGAGAGAGCTGGGCATGCAGGCCAGGCTTCGGGTCCTGGGTCCTGGGTCCTGGGTCCTGGGTCCTGGGTCCTGGGTCCTGGGTCCTGGGTCCTGGTCCTGGTCCTGGGTCCTGGTCCTGGTCCTGAATGTGCTTTGTACTGTGGCCTCTTTCCAGTGTGAACTAGTAACAACCCGTGTCTCATTGTTCTTTGGAAAGAAGTTTGCAGACTGATGTGTGTATGTTCCCTCACTGATGTTATGAGAAGTGACCTGAATTCTCAATTCATGTATCATAATTTCTTGGTAGGAAGGAGAAACTTCATACAGCTTCATTTTGAAATGGCAGCCAGTTGCTTTTAGATGGTGCCATTGAAATATATCACATTTTAATTTTTTTCTGTTGTCATCTTCATTTTGACACTTAAAAGTCTTAAAGAAACGTTTAGTGATATTCTAGTTAAAATGTCAGTCCCAATTTCTTTTCTAAATCTTGGCTATTGTAGAGTTGGCAAAGTATTTTAGATTTGAAGTATGTTAATAAAATTTTAGTTATGAGTTAAGGTAGTTTCTTCAACAGAAGTAGCTGGCTTTGGCTGGAGTGCAGCGCCAAGGAAGCAGTTCCTTTATTTGGTTACATGGAGTCTTCCTGGACTAGAGAAATACGAGATGAGCTCAGAGAGCCGTCACGCAGTGAGGCTTTCACTGTGACAGCCTGATTTATACGGTTGGTTCTCATTATTGTAAGTTCAATAAATTATTGCCTGAAGGGAAGCCTGAAAATTAAACTTGATATGACATAGGTTGAAATTGAATAAATCAGAATTTTCTACTGATGGCTAATAAGCCAGGATTTGTCTCAGGAAAACCCCTTTCAAACCTGAATTATATTAATGAGCTGTTCTAAAAGTTAGCTTTTGGAGAGTAACTTTACCAAAATGTCTTGTCTTAAATTTCCATTTCTTTGTTTCTTACACTGAGTCTTTGCTGCTGCTGAAGCCCGTTCTCAGCCCCATGAGCTCTGAACATGCGCTTGTTGTGTCTGTTCAGCTACCGCTGCTGCAGGGACAGGGGCCACAGGTTCTGGGGACTCTTGAGGCGCTGCGTCTGCACATCAGGGATTCGGCCCTCACACCCGAGTGTGTTGGTTCAGCCCTGTTTCGCAAGCGCCATGACGGTGTGCCAGGTCCCTGTGTGCCCTTCTCTTCCAAGGCGGGGCTGGGGAGCACAGGGGGCTGCAGCGCACGAGGCAGCTCATTTTCAGGTTCTGGGCCGAGTGTCTTGTGTGTCGCTCTTCACTGTCCAGGGCTCAGTCTTAACCCGTCTGGCCTGACTCTGAGGATTGGCGTGGTCGTTGCCCTGTGAGTTCTTTAACTTGGATTCCTGTTTCTCTAACCTGTGAGGAACGCGAGACATTAGAACTGTGTGTGTAGAGTGGCTACATTTAAATCTCAAGGAGCAAAATTAACGTCTATGACAGTGGGGGTATCTTGAATGAAAAAACACATTTTAAGTATTTGCAAAACGCATACCTGGAAATGATGTATTTTCTCAAATGTTCTCTCAGGGCGGTGGGCCTCATGTACCACTTCTGCTGCTCCTCTGACCCTTGAACTCCAGCTACACAGATATTCTGTCCAAAATAACTTTTTTCATACTTCCTAAAAGAAAAGCAGTTGTAAAATTAGTTTAGAAATGTTAGTTTTCTCGTCTGAAGTTTTCATCACTTTTCAAAATTTTTCTCAGATTCTCAATAAACAGGATAATACCAACACTGAATATCAAATGCTAAATAAATACCAACCGATTTTAATCTGACAAAAGTTACTGTTTAAAAAGTCCACGTGGCCCTGGCTGAGTAGGTCCTGGCAGGTCCCCTTTCCTCGGGGCACCTGCAGGAAGCAACCAGCGAATGCACGGATAGTGGGGACAGCGGATGAACGTCTCTCCCTCTCTCCTCCCCCACCCCACTCCGGTTCCTTGCTTCCTTTCTCTTTAAAAAATTCAATAATTTTTTTTAAAAGCCCACATAATTGTAACATCTTTCCCACCCTTTCATATTTTTTAAAAACAAGGCAAGACTTCCAATAGGCTGATACTTTTTGTTTGTCAAATATCTTTTTGTGAGTATATAGCCCTTTACAAAAAATTTTGACTATTCATGTCCCTTAAAATGTGAAATGAATGTAGTTCAGTAAAATTAGTGGGGAACAATTGTTATTGAGCCCCATTTTCCTCTGGGTTTTCACTTGTCACGTGGGAAGTAAGTTGTGTGGTCCTGGGTTTGGCCCGTGAGCATCGGTGTTGGAAAGGAGAGGCCGCGGTTAAATGGCCAGAGGCCGAGGTCTCTTCAGTTCCAGAATATTCTTTTTGTGGTCAGGTGGGCTTCTGCCAGTCCTGATAAACTGTATATAGTTGTCTTGAGAAACACAAAAGAAATGGGATTTTGCCACTAATTGATTAAATCAAGTATTGACATTTTATTAAATCTCAGCAGTGTCTTATAGCCTCTCAGTGAAATTGTTAATGTGGCTGCTCATCTTTGCTTAAAAGAAAGCTTAATGAAGATAAAGTAAGTTTAAATATTTTTCTTAAACTTTTACAAAGACTGAGCCATACGCTTAATTTTGTATAATTTATCATGTAACAGAATTGGAACTGGAGAGAAATGTTAGACTTAACGGACTATCTGAAAACACCTGAAACAGAGTTTGACTTACTCTTAAATATAGTTATAAATTTAAGCATCAAAACTACCTTGTTTTATAAGAAGAATTGACTTGTTAGTCTTTTTTGAAGGTTCGCTGAAAATAACTCTGTAACTTTGACTACTGCTAGTATTCACTAACACCTGTGTTTCAAGGAGCCCAGTGACAACGGACCCCTTTTCACGGAGTTAAAGTTCTACCAGCGAGCTGCCAAACCAGAGCAAAGTAAGACATCTCGGACTTGTGTCTGTACTTGACCATGGCCACCGCTTGTTTTGCCAAGACTAGAGTGTTGCATCTTACATTGTGATTATTTATTTTTAACTTTATAAACATGTTCTTGAGCCATACTCATGGATGAGGGTTTAAAATGAGATTTGTATGGAAGAATTCTGATTTCTTAATGAATGTGTTGGAAGATTTTACCTGTATTGGTTTATAGAATAAAGTGAGTAATGGCATATACTTTAGGAAATGTTAAAAATTGAGAAATAACCCTCATCCATGAGTATGCCTCAAGGATCTCCAAATCAATTTGGATGATTTTTTTGACTCTGGAGAACACAGCCTGGCGTGGGGGTTGCTGTGTTGTTGTTGGTAAACTAGAACCGACTGCTAAGGTACAGAGCAGGGCCTCTTCTGCTACTCTGTATGCGCCCCTGCCCCAGACCCAAGGCGTCTCCTTGTAGGACGGTGTAGGCTCAGCCGTCTCAAGGAAGCAAGCCCTCCATCTCTCCTGGGGTTTCATTTCCTGGCTGAAGACTTTCAGAATGAGGTATAAACTTTTGGATTGGGGTAAAAAAAAGTGTCTCGTGGAAGCAAGTAAACACTTACATAATTAGGGATGTTAATTGCACTCAGGGTACTATGGTTTGATTTAAGAATGTTTTGTTGCAGATTTTCATTATAAAGACAGTGTTTAGGGCAGGCTAACAAAATATTGTGGGTTAATCAAAATGCTTTCAATTGCATTTTGTTGGTTATAAAGTAACTACTTTTTATGAATAAATAAAAATGAAATTTTATTATGCATACAAATTTTGCTCTTAATGATTTAAAAGATTATTTATGTCTAACAGAATTGAAATCACAAGCATCTGTTTTAATTTTTAGTTCAGAAATGGATCCGTACCCATAAACTGAAATACCTGGGTGTTCCTAAGTACTGGGGATCTGGTCTACATGATAAAAATGGAAAAAGGTAAAAATGTACATGTTTCGCTTTTCTCTTTGGGCATTCACCGTGTGGTTGGCTTAGTGCAGACGTAAACCCTGAGCGGCTGTGGCGCTGCTCCTCCGGGCCCTGCACCGTGCATTCAACAGGCCAGCAAGGTGCTGCGGCTGCTCTCCACTCCCTGCAGCAACAGACCCCGAGGCCTGGTTATCAGGGGCGCCTCTCATCTGCAGGGCTTGCCCCAAGTGCTGACAGCTTCCAAACAAAAAATTGCACTTCCTCTGTGTAAAATGGAGCCCTCTCAATTTGGTGTTACATGTTAGATACATAATCTCACTGTAGAGTCTTCTTTTTATGAGTCCTCAGTCTGTCTGGTACGAAAAAGCTAACATGAAACACGACTGAAACATTTAGAACAGTTAAGTGCTAAATTGTGTGATTCTGACTCTTAGGGATCTTGAGGAGTTCAGAGATGGGGAGAGATTGTCGGCAGCAACGACAAAAATACCCCCCAACATCACCGAACTAGCTTACACTCGACTCCATCAGGCGTGGTTCCGGGCTGGTTGCTTTCAGTTTCTCGTGTTTCCTCACGTGCTTTCTTCCTGGGGTTATGTGAAGATGAGAGGTGGCGCCAGGTTGCGGTGGTCCTGTTCATCTTTGCTCTGAGGATCGCGTTTGCTTTATTAAGGTTTCCCAGATTCCGACTTGTTTAGTTAAATCAGTCAGTAAGTCATTAAAAGCCAAGACCACACTAAAAATGTATCAAGGTATCTTCCAACAGGGGTGGGAGACACCGCCATCATGGCAACAGCAGCTGGTGTTCGCTGAAGCCTCGGCCTGAGCATGGGCTGTTGTGGGCACTTCAGGTGCATTAGTGCACCCACTTCCCATGCCCGGAGGGGGTGGGTGCCCCTGCTCTGAGCCCCGTTTCATAGCAGAAGATTGCTGATGAAAGTAATTCGTCCTTCAATAAGTAGTGTAGCCTTTTGACCATTACACTAAACATAGGAGAATAACTGTCACCAGGGCATAAGAATCCCACTTCCAGGTGTGGTGTCAGCTTCTAAGATAAAAACACAGAATGGTATGTGCAATAGGGAAGGTAGAGCTAACATGTCAACTCCACAAGCCAAATACAAAATTCAGAATTCTACCCATTTTTGTACTGCAAGAGAATCAGAGGTAATCTTGTGTGGACATTTTTAGTAAATGGTTAATATCTATAGAGGTACAGTGATTTGCCCAGAGTCATACAATTAGTGGCAAATGTATTCACTCATGTAAGAGTTTCCAGTACCCTGACCTCTAAGATAAAGAGGGAATGATAATGTTGACTGCCTGATTTCAAAGATTGAGGGATGAGACCATGTTGGTTTTTACAAGTGAGTGGTAGGAGTCTAAAATCAGTACAAGGTAACATATGGGTAACAGAAATACAGCCTCTGCTAACAGTCTGAAAAAGGGCCAAAGCACAGATACTTAATTCAACACGGGATTCATACCTCACGTTAAGTAGTTCTTTGTTTTTATTCATAGATCACTGTATTGACCTATGAAACTACTCTTATAAACAGCCCCTTAATCGCCTCACTGTTTCTACGTTAGCCATGTCTGCTGAGGCATGATTCTGTACTTCACATAAAGATTTTTACCACCCTCTTCTGGGAAGACATTTCTACCACTGAGTGATAACATGAAAGTTTCTAAGTAGCTCCTCTAAAATAAAACCATCTGCATATACTTTTCTGGAAATTTTAATAAAACAATGCAAATAGTGGGAAAATAGAAATCAGTATAAATAATTGAATAGTGATAGCAAATAACATTTTTTTATCATCTTGATACTGTTCTAAGTGCCAAGTACCTATTAATTCAAATCATTTGCAAGGAGAAGTAAGGATTTCTGTATATCTTTATTTTTATAAGAAACAAAATGATCGTTCTTAAGGGCTTCAACATAAGAAGTAAATCATTACCTTAGAGGTGATTGATGCTCTGTTTTAGGAGACATTTCCAGCAAGTGCATGTCTTAGGAGGACCAGGAGAGGAAAGCAGTCCCAGGAAGGAAGCTAAAACCCAGAAACATGCATTAACTATGAGAAAAAAGCAGGGATATCATTCTTACTCTGATTGATTTGTCTTTGCCGTGAATGAACCGGGTGGGTTCTCTCTGTGGGCAGTGTCTGACCTGGTGAGTCATCTCCTTGGGCTGCAGGAGCCCTGGAGGAGGCCTCCCGGGGAAGGACAGGAGAGCAGCTGGCCACCTGAGACCTCTGCATAGAGGGAACCGTTTCAAGGGTCTGCCTTTCATTTCTTCTTTTTCCTAAACATTGCCTGGAAAACTACTTTGACAGGAAAGTACTTATTCTCTGCAAAGTCAGTTTTGCAGGTATATTTTGTTCATTGTCTTCTTTTGTTTGTCTTCAGTTACAGGTTTATGATCATGGATCGCTTTGGGAGTGACCTTCAGAAAATATATGAAGCCAATGCCAGAAGGTTTTCTCGGAAAACTGTCTTGCAGCTAAGCTTAAGAATTGTACGTGAGCTACTACGTGTTTCTTGTTTTTAGCCAGTACAGCTCCCGAGTGGAAGCTCGGTCCTCTGCTGGTTGGTGGTGGGTACTGCGTTAACCTATTCTGTGTGCTGCCTTCCTAGCTGGACATCCTGGAGTATGTGCACGAGCACGAGTACGTACACGGGGATATCAAGGCCTCGAATCTTCTTCTGAGCTGCAAGAATCCTGACCAGGTAGTTTCATAACTCTAATTTCTACTATGTAAAACTCTTGTTTGAAAACAAATGTGGTTGCTGTGAACTTTCGAACCCATGCAGAAGTTTTACTTTTTGAAGTGGATGTGGTAATAATAATATTTCTTCTTGACACTTTTCTCTAGTTAACATTCTACATTTTTGATGCAATTTGTTGGCACTTTATCAAGCTGGCTATTTTGCCCTAAATAATACTCAGAAGAAGTGCTCGTGATACAAAATGAATTTCAAATAGCTATTTGGGGGTGGAAACTTAAAATTATATAGTGCACCAGTGAATTATGTTTGCCTGTCTGCTTTGTCATTTTTTTATTTCCTTTGTTCAAGAAATCCATCAAATGTAAGTGTTCTGTTACTTGGAAAATTTGGTCTTTAACATGTTGATTATTCAAATCATTTGGTTTACACAAATATCTTAGCTGTCTAAATTTCTGTGCCCTGAGTGTTTGGAATTCAGATTTGCATTTTTATTTTTTTTAGTTTATTACATTTCCTTTGTAATTTCTACTTTTTAAGGAAAGGAGAAAAGCTAATGTTATTTTACCCTTTTTTGAGTCAGTTTGGTTGGAGTAGAGGGGTCTGTACTCGCTGATTACAGCTGTTCTTGCGGTTTCAGCGCGGCAGGTGTAGTTGACATTTTGTCGGAGACGTCGGGCCGCTGCACTCCCTCCATTCTGTGTGCTCTGGCTTCTCGATTCGTCTTGTGTGAAAAACGGTTACTGAAACATTTTAGATGTGTTTATGCTGATGGTCCATGCTTCATTTTTATTTCCTCAAACCTATCTTCAACTTCTTTTTACTTAGTTTTTCCTTAGGCTTCTCTTTTCTGTCATCTCCTATATTTGCATCCCCTCCCCCATCTCCGTTCTGGTGGCCATAAGGGATCTCTATACATATACAGAGGAAAGTTGCTACACTAAAGCATGCTAATGGAGAAATCTTAAAGGCAGTCACAGAATTTCCAGCTGTCGTATTTTAGATTAACAGCAAATAAAACAGAGCTAAGAACCTGAATGATAAGATTCTATTAATTGAAGTAGAACAGACTTAGGTAAAATAATACATAACAATACAACCTATTTCAGTTTGCAGTTGACTAAAACAGGCTGCCTTTTGTTGACACGGAAATATTTTGCAGCTCTGTTATTCTTTGGACATGTGCTTTAGATGGGGTTATCTTCTTAGCATTACCTGTATGGGCTTCCTCCGTCTCCATAGTTTTACTTCCGTTCCCTCTTGTGACCATCTGCACACATTTGTGAGACAGCTCCCAGAACCAGAAACTCAGTATGGGGCTGTGGCGTAGGAGAAAGCCAGACTTACTAGATTCGCGTGCTAGTCAGACCCACGTGGGCATGCCCACGGGGACGTGTGTGTAATATTAAAATGTAGTTTCAGTTTTGAAGACTTGACCTTAAGATATGATATTTCAATGTAGATGAGATCCTCATCTAGAAGTTCTTGAAATTGTTTTTAAAATCTGAAGTCCTTTTATGGAGTGAATTGACATTGGATGACTTCACATGTGAAGTTGCAGAAGCTAGGAAGACGGACGACTGATGTGTCATGTGTGGGCAAAGTCAGCAGGGTCACACTGGAGTGTGGCAGCTGTGCCGCGGGCAAGGGCTGGTGGTTCACTTTGTGCTGCGTTTTCTTTCAGACTGTGAAGAAAAGTATGACATTTCTAGCCCATGCGCAAATTGAGGAGACAAGATTAATTCCAAGTATAACACATATCCAAAAAAGAATGCAAAGTCAGGTGATACTGTCTGGACTGTAGCTACATGGTCACGTACCATTTTCCTTTAAATAGAAAGTCTTTCAGAATGAAGTGTTTGCTATTGTTTGCATGTAGGATCTGACTTGTTTGGGGTGATACAGTCTTATAGTGAATTTACCCTTAAGTGACAGTACTTTGTTTCTGATCTTTAAAGCAGTCTACATGCAATCATTCTGGTTTTAATCTGTGCCGGTGCTTGGAAATTTGTAGGTGTACCTGGTAGATTATGGCCTTGCTTACCGGTACCGCCCAGAAGGAGTTCATAAAGAATACAAGGAAGACCCTAAAAGATGTCACGATGGCACCATTGAGTTCACCAGCATCGACGCACACAATGGTGTGGGTACGTCGGGGCGGCCGAACAGGAAACACACTGAGCATGTCTGCAGCCAAACTCCCACGCGGTCCTTGGTTCTGCATAAATCACAGAGGAGGCGTGGGCAGACTCCCAGGCGCCCCACGGGCCCCTGCGCTCTCTCCTGTGTCCCCCACAGCTCAGAGACGTGGGCGCTCACGGTGAAGGCGGTCCAGGCCACCGCGGTGGGCTTTCTCTGTGGTTGCGTTAGCTTAAACAGAATGCCGGTTGCTTCCCCCTGAAGTCTGGGTTTCTCATGCAGCTCTAACTTTGTACCAGGCAGACGTGTGTTTTATCACCTGCTCGGTGAGCCAGTCTCTTCAGCAGTCACTTCCTTCTTCCTGCCCAGAACTGGGGAGCTGAGCCCTCCAGGTCTCTGGCTCTCCTGATGGCTCATGGCATTTTCGACGTCTTCAGTTTTTCTAGAGGCAGTATTAAATGGGTCATGGTTTTATATTTTATTTCTTAGGTTAATAGTCTCGGTTTGAAACTCTAGAGTTTGCCAGTTTGGGTTTTAAAGTAAATTGTTAGTTGGAGGTAAATTATCTTTTTGTACTACCCAATACTCAATATTTTTATTAAATGCAGTCAAAATTTTATGATGAGAAACAGGGCTGTAGAGTTAACTGTTTACCTTATTGCTTTATATGTCCTCGAAATTAACCTTAAACATTATTTCACTTTGCTTAATCTGCTTCTTTTGTATTCATAGCCCCATCCAGACGTGGCGACTTGGAAATACTTGGCTACTGTATGATCCAGTGGCTTAGTGGCCATCTCCCGTGGGAGGATAATCTGAAAGATCCTAACTATGTTAGAGATTCCAAAATTAGGTAAAGGAGACTTACACATTCTTTTGGGCAAACGCACGAGGCAGACGTAGTCTAGTCATCACTCCTTTATTGGAACTGTAGCTTTAACTGATACTGATGTGGAAATAAGGAAGTATTTGTTAAGTAGTGAGATTTCTTGGTCTCTTGTTCAACTTATTTGACAAGAGTGTCTGTGGACACACAGGCAGCGCGGTGCCGCCAGCGTGCCGTTTGCTGTGGTCGAACGTTAGTGACTTGTGCGGCGTGGAGCTTTGGACAGAGACTCACTCTTTAACTCTTCACAGATACAGAGACAATATCGCAAGTTTGATGGACAGATGTTTTCCTGGGAAAAACAAGCCAGGTAGGAGAAGACTTCTTTTATATCCACAGGGGTTTTTTCCTCTGAGAGGAAGAAGTCTCGAGGCCCAGGGAGTGACGTGGGAGTTTGGTGTGACCCTCGCACGGCCCGCACTCCCCGGAAAGCATTTCCTTCCCGGGAGTGCGCTCTGGGGGTGCGGGTGCTCCACCCGGTTACTTAGTGCTTTCAGGAAGAGGACCAGGCTTCGTTCATTCATTCAGCTATTTTTTTTTTTGAAGTTTATCGTGTGCCAGGGAGTATTCTAGGCACTAGGGCCACATCTGTGAACAAAGCACAGCAGTTGCCGCCCTCACGAAGTGGAGGCTGTGGCGGGAAGTGGAGACAGGAAGCGAGGGAGTGACTTGTGCGGCACGTTGTGCGGTCAGTACTGGGGAACGAGAAGAAAGCTCGGAGTAGAATTAGGGAGCCGGGTGGGGAGGAGGACTGGGGTTTGGAACGGGGGCGCAGAAGACTCACTGAGGTGCGGACATGTGAGCAGTGTAGGGAGGAGAGGGGAGTGAACCCCGTGGGACCGGAGGCAGGAGCCCCGGGCAGAAGGAACGGACAGTGCCGGTTGTGTTCGAGGACGGCTTCCTTCAGGGCTGTCACGAGGGTTTGGCGTTTACTTTGAGCAAGAGTGTAAGGTGTGGCGTAGAAAGGTGACATGGCCTGTCCGGGTTGAGGGGACACCTCTTGAGCTTATGTTTGAGGATACGCTGCTAAAGGAGCACGCAGGGACCATCAGGAGTGGGGTTGGACGTAGCAGTGGAGGGGGTGAGGAGCGCTGTTCTGCGTGGAGTTAGAGGTCTGCCCTGACCTCATGCTATTTAAGTTGCAACCTCCTGACCACACGAAGGACAGAACACGACAGGCTTCTCGGGATCCACTCCTGGCCCCAGCCTGTCCCTCTGGCCTGGTGGATGACTGGCCTCACTTCCAGCACCAGAGAGTTACGTTCAAGCCGAGTGGATGTGGGGGCCGTGTGAGCTCAGGGTGCAGGTCCCGGCCCCGGGGAGTGAGCCTTCTGCTCTGTCAGAGCCCGTGTCTCCCACTCAGTGTTGTGTTGGTGGGGCTCGTTCCCACTGCTGCGAGGCGTTTTGGATGTTTTTATTGATTTTTAATTTTATTGAGGAATAATTATAATTGTGTATATTTAAAGCATACTACATAATGATTTGATACACGGTTACATTGTAGAATAATTACCAAAATCAAGATAACGAACACATCCCTTACCTCACATGCTGAATTTTTTTCACGGTGAGCATGCTTGTACGACCTGCTCTGAGCGGCTTCTGTGTGCGCCTGCCGCGCCATTAACAGTGGTCACCACGCCGAACCCCACGCTGCGCGGTCCACAGACAGCCGTTTGTTCACTCTCGTTTCTGTGTGTGTCCTGTTGTGTTCAGTGCCGCTGCTGACCCGGCCTGCTGTTGGGGTTTCGGTTCTGCCAGCCGTAGGGTGCCGGTTGCGCGTGGAGAGGTGTGGCGTGCACCTGCAGCCAATTGGGGTGTGTGACGGCAGGAGGGGCCCGGTTTCCTCACCCCGAGTTTGCATCTCGTCGCCCAGCAGCCTTTCTTGACGAGACCGTTTTTGCCCTGCGTGCCACCCTCGTCTTAATCAGGTGCGGATCTGCGGGGCTATTTCCAAACTCTTCTCTCTCCTTGCTCTTTCCATGTATTCTTGCACCATGCTGTCTTAATTAGTGTGCCTTTATCTTAAAAGTCTTGGTATCATCTGGTAATTTAAGTCCTCCAGCTCTGTTCTTTAAACTTGACCGTGTTATTTTGCTGCTCTTGGTCTTTTGCATACCTGTGTACATTCAAGAGTCACCTTGTCACTTGGGCGCAGGTCCCCCTATCCCCAGTGTGCCGGCACTTTGTGTGTGGTGGCACTGGCTGCTCAAAGGGGGAGCAGGGACGTGGCCGTGCCACGGAGGCTGCCAGTCCACCGATGCGGTTCATCCGCCGCCCCCCTCGTCTCAGGTCCTCTCAGCTGTTTCCCAGTGTTTGCTGCATAGGCTGTGCCCATCTTTCATCGTATTTTATGCTTTTGATGCCATATTATGGGATATGCATTTTAAAAATATTTTCCAGTTGCTTGTTGCTAGTATACAGAAACAAATAGACTTTTACAAACTTACCTTGCTTCTGTGACCTTGTTATGTTTACCCGTTCTAGTCGTTTTTAAATAGATTCCTTAGGATGTTCTACACACACTGTCATGTTTGTGAATAAACTGCTTTAAATCCTGCACGTGTGTCTGAGCCGCTCCTCCTCCTCTTGCCCTGGCTGAAGCTCAGGGACCCTCGTGCTGCAAAGAGGCGGTGGGGGCGGGCCTCCCGCCGGCTTCCTCTCTCAGAAGGAAAGTTGTGATGTTTGCAGGAGGTTTTCTGCAGCTCCCCTGTATCAGAATAACAAAGGTTAAAGGGGGTTTCTTTTGTCTCTGTTTCCCTCCCGTATCTCAAGTATCTTTAATCTTGCCAGGTACCTAATGGGTGTGTTATACATAATTGAATGAGTGAAGGTGTGCATGAGATTCCTGACGTGCTCGCTCTCTTTTTCTTTTTTAATCCTCACCTGAGGATATGTTTATTGATTTCAGAGAGAGAGGAGAGGAGAGAGGGGAACACTGATATGAGAGAGAAACATTGATCGGTTGTCTCTTGTATACACCCTGACTGGCGACTGAACCTGCAACCCTTTGGTGTGTGGAACGAGGCCCCAACTAGCCGAGCCACCTGGTCGGGGTCCCTACAGGATCTCTTGTTGGCTGAGTGCAGGGCGTGGGGAGAAGAGAAGAGGCTTGAGCAGTCAGAGGATGGAGTTAGTAACCCAGACAGGGGAAGGCGCAGGTAGCAGGTGCTCGCGGTGGGTCAGAGTGTCGGTCCGATTTGTTGGGGTTTGAGATGACATTTGTTCGTCTGACAGCCACCACGGGAGGCTGTGTGTGGACAGGCCTGCGGGTCAGGGAAGAGGGCTGGGCCGGGGAGCCACAGCTGTGAGTCAGTAGCCCACAGAGGGATGTTCAGTGTTGGGAGGTGCTGGTCCTGGCTGGTGAGATTTCCCTATGGGTGTGGTTCTGCCGCAGAGCACAGTAAACCTTTTACCATTCGGAGGGTGATTTTTCTCTTTTATGGGAAAACCAAGCGTTGCTTCCTGGTTTTGGTATGTTTTATTCCTCATTTACACAATGAGACTAAAAAAAAACCCATTAGCTATATTCCTTGTAATTAAGCACATTTTACTTCACGGTCTATACTTTACATCCTTTTGTATTTTTGATAACTTTAAAACTATAGCAGTTATTTTTGTGCATTTTCAAGTTTTAAGTACGTCTTCTGTCTTTTTGCCTTACCATTACAAAACTGCTTCTACACGATATCTCAAAACATATTTGTTTATTTTGGCTATTATCTGACAATTCTTGAGTTCAGAAGCACACTTTCATTAAAGAAGTGATTGAAAAGACATCATTTAACAAGATAAACATTTTTATTCTGATTTTACTGTAACTACTAAATATTTTCTTAGAAGGGATAAATGTATTTATGCTTTAAAAATTATAAAATAATTGTTATTCTTTTAGATGAAATTGCTAAATACATGGAAACAGTGAAATTACTGGACTATGCCGAGAAACCTCTTTATCAAAAGTTACAAGACATTCTTTTGCAAGGACTAAAATCTATAGGAAGTAAGGACGATGGCAGATTGGAACTCGGCGTTTCGGAGAACGGAGGTCTGAGAGCAAACACTGTGACAAAGGTGAATTTTGTTCTTGAATTATCCTTCGGACTCCCCGTGATTATAATTTCAACAAATACTGAGTTTAGTAGAGTAAATCCGTGTCTCGGTGAAGAAAATAATGACAGAATGTTTGGCAATTGAATATTTATCATCATTATCTATAGGCAAGCTCTTTATGATACAGAAAGATATATGGTAGGTTGTGGGAAAATGAATATTTGTATATTTTTATGTACAGTAGCAAGTTACTAACTTTCAGGAAGACTCGGACTTGAGAAGGTGCCCTCTGGTGCAGGGACCTCACGGGACGCCCCACCCCGGTTGGGGCGCCTTCTCTCCCAGGCCAGCCCCCCGGGGCCAGTCTCGTCGCTCGGTTCTGTTCGTTTGTTGGTTTGGTCAGAGGGTTTATGACTTGGAAATTGGTATTTGAAAATCACCATTTGGATATTTTCTTGTTTGATAGTATGTTTACCATTTGAACATGATTTTGCTCTTCACTAAAGTGTCATTATATATAAAGTTTTGTATATGCACATAAGGGGAATCATTTTTTGGAGAGAAAAGTTAAGAAGTAATGAACTTTATGGTAGATGTATTGCATAGCCATGTAAATAACTCCTGGTATCACTTTAATATTTACATTTTAGAGGTATACATTGTCTTTTTGGTTTATTGTTGATTATTTCTAATAATTATTGGCATTTCCCTTATACCCTGAAATTATGTAATAAAACATGCCAGTTGTTTTGATATGGAAAAGGAAAACTGCTTTGAGAGAAATGTTTTTTGCATTACTGACCAGTCTTACTGTCATTAACTCTGGAAGTGCCAATAGGTTCCTTTGAAATCTCACGTTCTAAACTAATGAGGAGAGGGGGTAAAACAAATTTTCTCTTTTCAAGAAGCAGCCAATAAAAAGATTTTTTATAATTTTTCTAACTTATAAGGGAGATTGGAATTAGAATAAAATTTTCCTGTAAGTTTTGTGTTAATTGCATCTGCCCCATTTTGAGGTTGGCGGGTGGGCTGAAACTTTGATATGAGGGGGATAACGTGGGGTCCGGAGTGGAGTGTTTCAGGGAGGCAGTGAGTTTACAGTTTGCGTGCGTGGCTAGACTGCAGCGTGCACCGCCATCCTCGGGGCAGGTTTTGTGACGTTGCGTGTGGAGCCGGCTGCTAGAGTGTTTTTCTCTGAAATTTTCCTGGCTGGGGAGAAAAGGTCTCTGTGCAGGAGGACGTGTCCAGTGCCACTCCCCGCCCTTTGCACTGTTCGGACCTGTGTGCTGCTGACTTTACAGCTGTGTAGGTCAGTCTGCTGCAGGGCTGACGCCTGGGACCTTGCCGTTCTCTCTCTGTCCTTGGGCAGTTCAGAAGTCTGGGAGTGTCCTGCTGGATGGTGCTGACACAAGTAAGGCTTCGTTTAGGGGAAGTGTGTAAATTCCAAGTTGAACTACTAGGAGATTGCCTTTATTAGTTTACTGTCTTGTTTGTGTTTTTGTCTTCATGGATGGCACAGGGCTGTTCTGAATATCAAAAAGAAATTAATGAAAGTTAGGATTAGGTAAGATAATGAAACTGCTTGGTGGACAGGTAACTGTAGGTGATATAATAATTTTGTTGGCTTTTGTCCTTTTGTTTGTAAAAGTGAAAGAGTTAGACCAGACGTCTTTCTTTCATTCATTTATTCATTCAGTTTATTGGGGTGACATTGATTCACAAAACCATACAGGTTTCAAGTGTAAATCTCAAGAAAACGTAATCTACACATTGTATCATGTGCCCACCAGGCCAAGCAAAGTCTTTTCCGTCCCCATTTCCCCTCTTTGCCCACTTCCCTGGCCACCACCCCTGCCCCTCGGCCATGAGCACACTGTTGTCTGTGTCTGGGTGTTATGAATGTGTGTTTTTGGCAGTGCGTTCGCCTTCTTTCATTCAGTCCCCTCCCCGCCTCCCAGCAACTGCCAGTTTGCTCCATGTATTCATGCTTCTGTTTATCATTTTATTGTGGTCACTAGATTCCACACATCAGTGAGATCATATGGTGTTTGTCTTTCTCTGACTGGCTGATTTCACTTAGCATCATGCTTTCCAGGTCCATCCCTCCTCCTTCCTATGGCCGTGCAGTATCTCATGGTGTAACCGTACCACAGATTTTTACCCACTTATGTACTGATGGGCATCAGGCTGTTTCTAGATCTTGGCTACTGCAAATAACACTGCAGTGAATGTAAAGGTGCACGGATTTTTTTGAATTAGCGTTTCAGGATATATTCCCAGAAGTGGCGTTGCTGGGTCAAAAGGCAGTTCCATTTTGAATGTTTTGAGGGCACTCCGTATTGTTTTCCATGGTGGCTGTACCAGCCTGCATTGCCACCAACAGTGCACAAGGGTTCCCTTTTTTTCACATTCTTGACAGCACTTATTTGTTGATTTATTGATGGTAGCCATTCTGATGGGGGGGTGAGGCGATACTTCATTGTGGTTTTAATTTGCATCTCTCTGATGATTAATGATGTTAAGAATCTTTTCATATGTCTATAATCAGTATGTCCTCTTTGGAAAAGTGTCTGTTGAGGTTCTTTGCCTATTTTTTAGATCACCTTTCTGGTGTTGGATTGTGTAAATTATTTATATATTTTGGAAATTAACCCCTTATCAGATATATCATTGGCAAATAAGTTCTCCCATACAGTGGGTTCCCATTTCATTTTGTCAATGGTTTCTTTTGCTATGTAGAAGATTTTTAGTTTGGTATACTACTATTTGTCTTTTTCCTTAGGAGATATATTGACAAAAATATTGCTGTGTGAGATGTCAGAGATTTTACTGCTTGTTTTCTTCTAGGATTTTTATGGTTTCGTGTCGTATGAGGGTAGACCCCCAAAATCTCAGAATTTATTTAATAAAGAATTGTGTACTCTTACATGTTTAAACTTCAGTCACCTTCAGAGTACTCTTTATTTGATGTAATACACTTATTGAGACGTGTTTTCCACTCAAAACAGTTTTTAAATTTGCCTATTTTGATTTTTTTAGTGTTTCTGCTGTTTTCTGTTTCACCTCTTCCACATCGGCAGAATGTTTCCCTCTGAGGATTTTTTTAATCTGGGGAAACAAAAAAAGGTCACTCAGGGTCTGACAGGTGTATAGGGAGCTCGGGGCACAGGGGAGAGGTGATGCCGTTTTTGGTCAAAAACTGCTGAATACTCCGCATTGTGGGCAGATGCACTTGTAAATAACCCACCATGAAATGGGCAAACATGTTGAAAGAGTCCTCGAAAAAATTTGCTGAAGTTGAATGTAGCTTCTTATAACAATGCCAGCTGGTACACAGATGGGCTCCTAGTGAGGGAAGCCTGTCCTAAAAGGGGCGCACCCTACAGGGGTTAATTCTGGTTTTTTTTGCAGGTGGCATTTCCCCTTGTACACTGAAGTCTTTTATCCATTTTGAGTTTATTCTTGTGTATTGTGTAAGCTGGCCTAGTTTCTTTTTTTTGCCTGTACCTCTTTAATTTGCCCAACACTGTTTACTGAAGAGACTGTCTTTAGTCCATGTGTGCTCTTGACTCTGTCACATATTAATTGACCATAAGGTATAGATTTATTGTGGGTCCCTCTGTTCTGTTCCATTGATCTGTATACCTGTTGTAATGCCAGTACTGGGCTGTTTCATTACAGTGGCCTTCTAATACAGTTCGATGTCCGGTATTGTGATCCCTCCACCTTTGTTCTTCTTCCTCAAGATTTCTGAGGCTATCTGGGATTTTTTTGGTCTCATACAAATTTTTGGAATATTTGTTCTAGATGTGTGAAATATGCCATTGGCATTTTAATAGGAATTGTGCTGATTTTGTAGGTTACTTTAGGTAGTAGGGACATTTTAATCATGTTAATTCTTCCAGTCTGTGAATGTGGTATATACTTCCACTTATTTGTATCTTAATGAATTTTGTTCTTTAATGTCCTATAATTTTCTCAGTACAGGTCTTTTACCTCCTTGGTTAAACTTATTTTTAGGTACCTTATTCTTTTGTTGGTGTTGCAATAGTAAGTGAAATTGTGTTTTTTAAATTTCTCTTTCTGATAGGTTATTATTGATATATAAAATGCTACTTATTTCTGAATGTTAATTTTGTATCATGCTATTTTGCCATATTCATTTATTTAGTAGTTTTTTGGTGGAGTCTTTAGGGTTTTTTATGTATAATATATCATCTGTGAATAATGACAGTTTTACTTCCTCCTTTCCAATTTAGATGTCTTTTTATTTCTTCTTATCTGATTGCTATGGCTAGGACTTCCAGTGCTGTGGTGAATACGAGTGGTGAAAGTGGGCATCTTGGTCTTGTTTCTGATCTGAAGGGAAACACTTTGGTTTTTGCCCATTGAACATGGTGTCGGCTGTAGGTCTGTCATATGTGGCCTTTATGATGTTGAGGTGTGATCCCTCTAGTTCCACTTTACTGAGAGTTTTTAATAATAAATTCTGTATCTATTGATTTTTATCCTTCATATTCTTTATCTGATGTATCACATTCATTGATTCGTGACTATTGTACCAAGCTTGCATCCCTGGAATCTTTATTGAGCCCACTTGATCATGGTGTATGATTTTTTTTTAACATATTATTGGATCTGGTTTGCTAATATTTTGTTGAGGATTTTAGCATCTATGTTCATCAAGAATATTGGCCTGTAATTTTTTCCTTTGTAGTGTCTTTCTGGTTTTGGAATTAGAGTAATGCTGGTCTTGTAAAACAAGCTTGGAAGTCTTCCTTCCTCTTGAATTTTTTAAATAGTTTGAGAAGGATAAGGGTTCTTTTTTGAATGTGTGGTATAATTTGTTGGTAAAGCCATTTGGTCTAGGACTACTGTTTGTTGAGAGTGTTTTGATTTCTGCTTCAATTTCACTAGTTGTAATCTGTCTTTTCAGCTTCTCTGATTCTTCCTGGTTCAGTTTTGGAAGATTGTACATTTCTAGTAATTTATCCATTTTTTCCTGATTTTCCAATTTGACA